TTTCTTTTTTTGTACACCCTAATTGTAAAATAAAATAATCGCACAGAGTTTTGTATTCTGTGACGTCAAGTTGAAATTTTGGAAAGTAGATTAAATTATTTATAAGAATGATTCTTTCGAATTCACAGTACGGAATGATGACATCACAATTTTGTCACGTTGTGAGATTACTAACATAGCTCGTTTTCTCCAAAAAAAAATATTAGGGAAGAAAGTCTCTTTTAAAATTGCCAGATGCCATTCTTAAAATATAAATTGTAAGAATTACGTGGTATTTTCTTTCTTTAACGTCAATGTTCACGAGATAAAACTTCGAAGACCTGGATATTAACACCGAGAGTAGATCGATGTCTCACAGACGCGACATACTGCGTCCGCGTAGTCGTGATGTTTTCGAGACACCAGAACTACCGTGGTGCACCTGATACGCAACATCTTGAGATTGAAGAAACAAAGGCACGCAAATGTAAGTGCACATACATATGTCGGGATTCACTTCGACGGAATCCCAAATATATTGATCGCTTTGCCGAAACATGGATCAAATTAGAGTTCTCTCTCTGTTCAGTTTCAGACAGGATGCGGTAATTCGGTGATTCAGTCTCCTTCCCTTCATTGTCAGTGTCCTCTATGAAAACATTTAATACATCGTGTCTCATAACTACGAATCGCATCAAATGTTATTAGCTCCTTTGTACGTGCATTATTGAAATTCTGTTATATTTCAGATTGATTTACGTAAAATTTAAAATATGTATATGTTAGAAGAGTCAGTGCATGAATATCGACAACTTTGCCTTCGAGAGGCTTAAATTCGATTGTTTTCACCGGAGAGGAAGAAGAGAAGCCGGAGACACTTTAATGAAATAATCGTAGGAGACAAGAAACCGGAATGTTCAACCTCGTTGAATTCTATTCTGCCTCACCATCTTTTACCCTATACTGCTTTCCCAACCCATATCCGGATATCGTTATATATATATACACATATAGTATATAACCATCGGTATAATTGGAAGAGTTAGAAGATTCTGCTCCCCTAACACGCACCAACACTAAGTACATACAATCTTTCACAAGCATATACTGGTACCTCGACTCTGTTGCTATCACACCGTCCCCTCTTTCTCGCTTTCAACGGATCTCGGATAAATGACTTCGGTCTCTTTTTCGATAAAAGCTCACCCCTTGCCACCGTTTCCGGTACACTCATCACCGAAGACATCCATTAGCGAAGAGAACACGAAATGCCGATTTTTGTTCGTTCGACTAAGTACAAGTTATACGAATCGATGGCACAATAGAAAAAGAGTTCATTACAAATTGAAAGAGTGGATCAATCTCGGAAGTTCTTGGGACATGATCGCGTGGGCGACGGATAATGTGAAATGTTTTCTACAAGAATTTCCTGGACGTACATATATAGAATCTATCTACTTTTATCGAAAAATTTTCTTGTTACACATGATGATAAATAATACATTCTTCTCCAAAGAAATTTTACTTCATTCTGATTCTTTCTCTTTAATTCCATTTCCTATGTTAATTGCTTCCTTTGAGCACGACGTATGTACAACGTGGAGAAGTCAACTAAAAATATCACGGATACTAATATTTTTCTCCAGATATTATTACCTACCAAGCGATAAATATTATTTCCGGTGCGATAAATCACGGCTTACCATTTATCTTATCGAGTGCCGAATTGAAGTGCGTAGGAATCGTCGCTGCATAGAGAATCCTGTTTTCAATTGAAGTAACCCGACACGACGCGATTCACCGTGCACGTAACACCGGAAGCCACCGGATGTCCGCGGATCACTTGACCGGAAACTGAAAGTTCGCGCATCGGCGTAATCGAGGCGGCCGTTTTGTCGTCCTTCTTGGAAAGTGCTCGTGAGCTCCGTTCTCATCTAAGAGTGGGCACGGTTCGATGGAAACCCGGAGATAAAAAAGAGAAGAATAAACGACGAAAACAATTTCGAGAAATTGCTTTAAAGAAAAATAACGAAGGGCGGCCAGAAATCTTCTCTCTTTTCTGGCAATGTTTAATTTTGCCGACTTCATATCGCATAAAATAATAATATTTTATTATTTCCCACGAAACTTATTTTAGTTTTAACCGTGCATATATATTTTAATTTATTAATGAAAATTTTGCGATAAAATAAAATAAGGGCAAGATTGCTGTGTTATATGTTGTTGTTCGATTTAATAAGTCATATTACAATATCTGTTACGACTGCGATTTGCAAGTTGAAAATTGAATGAATAAATGAAGATAGCGTAGCGACACAGGCGTCCACAACGCTTTTGGTATTTACTCATTGTTCCTTTAAGCACACTATATACAGAAATGAGCGCGTATGAAAAACGTGCGTTTCGCAAAGCTATACGTTCGCGAGTCTCGTGTCGCGACAAATCGTCACGATCACTCGCGACATTATACATCAGTCAGTCATTCATGAATTGGCTCGAATTGCTCGCCCGTTTATTTATACCGGCTGATAAATCGCTACGCGGCACACAGCCCAGTGTGCGCGCCTCCCGATACCGGGTTATGACGTATTCCAGTAAAAGTAGGTGTATCAGTTTTGTAAAACGATACTAAACCACCAGGCCCCCCTAAGAATAGTAACCAGGAAACGGATCTGTCCATTCAATACACCGTTACACCCCGCTTCCTCGCTCTTTGCGTCTACAACTCCCGTTCTCTCGTCACGGTTTCTTTTTTATGTCCTATCTTTTGCGGCAAATGTTTCTACATCACTTCATCGTTTGCGGATTTCCTTCCTTCTCTTTATTCTGCATGCATTTGCGATATTCGACACGCAGTCAATGGATATCAACCGACAATGACTCGATAACGGTTCATCCTGACAATTTACACGGTTCGACGCTCCGATAACGAGTATAAATGGAATTCCGATTACGCCGGAAGTAACTTTGTGCAAATACAACGGTAACTGTTCTTCCATATTTGGAATGAAATCAACCGTGTACGTTTACCGACCAAATCTGCCAATATCTGGGACAGGAAATACAAAGCCTGCATCATCTTTTTCCGGTTCGTTCTCGAAACAAAGACAGACGTCGTTCAACATTGTTGTTGACAGTATTTTAAGTAAGAATTAAACATTGGTATACATATATGCATTGAAAAATAAACGTTGAATTACTACAAAAAAATATAAAATTCACAAAATGACTTTTCACGATTCAAAGTCATGCGAAAGAATGGTCCGTACTGACGTACACACTCGCACGTGAAAAATATCGCTTCCGGTGCCGGTGGAATAAGTACAGCCTCAGTTGCACACGAGCCGACAAATCCCGGTTTTTGGTTGCACTGACACTAATGTCAATATCACCGAACGCAGACCTGTTTTTAGGTTAGGTGTGCGCACGTGCGAACCGCGCATTTATTATTCGTTTTTACACACGTCAGAAGCCAAAAACACGCGCGGTCAGACAGGTGTCCTATTTATATAAACTCCTGTCCGGAAAACAGACGAACGGAAAGGAGAGAGAGGGCGAAAAAAAGCAACATGCTTGTAAAACATTACTCACCTGATCCCGAAGCTTTCCTTCCAAAACTCGGCCGCGTCCGCTTTCGTGATGCGAAACTTGTGTCCAGCAAAAACTCCGTTTGGAAAAATGGCTTTCAATTCGGACAGCATGTGACTGAACACGAGGCTAAGCTTGGTCAGATTTCTACGATAATGAGACGTCTCGTCGAACATCTTCTCCTTGCCCTCTTTGAACAACTTGATAGCCTGTTTGCACTTTCTCATTAGGTTGTTGATAAACACACAAAAGTGCTCATTGCTGTGTAACACCTGCATCCTGTCCTCGTATTTACTGTATATCAGTCTTAATCGTTGATACGTGTCCGGGAGTATATCCAGGATGAACGGCGGCGAATTTTTTAAGTTCATCCGTTGATGTTGACACAGCTTGACCACTTTGTCCATAAGCTTCCAGGTCTTATCCAGCATTCGCTTGTCGGTCGAAAGTTTCGGCAGTGTCATAGGGTCAGCAAAGCGACCGTGAAGCTTCTGGAAGATCGAACCTATGTGCACAGCTCGTGTACGACTGCTATGTCCTCCCGACGACATCTTGACGTGTGCGTGCATATCCCACAGCACCGGGATTTCTTGGTGCTTGTTCCCTGATCCGAGTCTCGCACACTTCTATTCCGCACTTCACTTTTCGACAAAACCAACCAACACTTCGCCTTAGGTTAACCTGCCCTGCACTCGTGACAATGTTACGCTATACCGCATTTCCATCAACGAGACGCGTCCACTAACTCGACGAGCTTCTCACGAAGTCGCGGCCACGAGATATACCATAACGTTGCACGATACCACATCCTAGTCTTGCTACTCCGTACTGACCGTACTGACAACAGAGGATACCTGAAGATACCCACAGGCCACAACCGCTCACAACGAATCGACACTGACACGATCAAGCGTGCCCAGAGCGTGCTTGTGAGCCTGTGGCTCATCGTTAATTGTGTTTCAATTCGCGTCCGTGTGACGCTCTGTGGCGGTGCTGTAGCGCGCTCTATTCAAATTTAAGCTCATTTTTTACGTTCATCTTCATTTTGATTTTGATTTTTGTTATATTTACCACCAAGGAGATTATCGTATATACATTGTATTATTCAAATTAATACAAGCTTAACGTTTAATGTTCATAATGTTTCTCGAAAGAATGGAATGAATACACGGACTGCTAAACAAAAAAGACGTATATTTCTGTTTGTTTTTATAATACAATGGTTTTAATATTATACGTAAAGTATAGACTCTTTTTCCTAATGTAACAAGTAAATTAAACATACATACAAAAGAAGGCGACAAAACTAAATTAAATTACGAAGATTTGTATTAATTAATTGTAAAATCACAAATTATTACATACGCTTGTAACTCTAAGATATACATATATACATATAGTATATATATATTCTGTATATATATATATGACTATAAAATTCTGTGTCTGTGAATCTTAACATCCACGAAATAGCATCTTATATCATTGACTGATGTTATCTTATATCAATGATTGATAAAGGGCAGCGATAACTGTTTGAACATTGTAAGTTGTATCTGTGCATTGTTTTCTAGTATCTTATCGTTTAAAATACACCATCGCGAAATACATTATTCTCTTTGCCTTTGTCGCGCTTCGATTAATTAACTATATATATTAAGTAACTTCGTTTGGCAAGTTCGAAAGTTTTAACTATGCTCTAGTGAGTCAAAGCAATTTCTTATACTATTTTTTGTTTTGCAATTTATTTTGACTATTAGTAATCAAGACTTGATATTGATTCTACTGTTTGTATTTCTTGTTACTATTTGAAATATCTAATCGATTCATTACGATCAAAGTGATGTCACCGGCTCACCATATAATTACTTAATCGTAACAAAAGAAAGCTTGCCATCAAGAACCAACTTCCCGGAATCGACGCCAGTACGTAATATCTTTCATCTGGAACATTAAAGATGTATTCGCGTTATAATTTTCTCGGAATACTATTATTCCATTCCTTTGAAAGGCAATAGCGTGCATCAAGGTAACAATATAAAGGTCACTAAATCACAAGTTACCACATATTTGAATACTTATAATAACAAAATAAAGTGTTTATACGTTTATTTATAGTTCTGGAATAAAGATCAAACAAAAGGTGCCATCAAACAAGTAATAGAATAATAGAACTCAAGCTAATTATTATTCTATTAAAAATCTCTTATTTCAAGCACGTATCGATTATTTATCAAATAAGTTTACAATATTACGTAAATGCAATTATAATAACGAGTAAATATAAAAATAAACGAATAAACGCTTGATGATTTGAATGTGTCCAATATCTCGAATACTATTTGTACCAGACTTATTAAATTACCTGTCATTTGTTCAGATCTTTTTGCTTCCGCCCAACCCAAACTTCTCTCAACAGCCATTTTCCACTTTTTATACCTAGCATCTCTCTCTGCAAGGAACGTTTCGCATACAATAGAATCTTAATGAATAACTCAGTTTAAATATGCCTTACCTTCTGTCGTTGTTGTTGGCAAAAATGTATCGAATGGTACCGTCTCTACTTCTTCACCTTCTAATTGCCAAACATTTATACCATCCGCGTGACCCGCAGCCATCGCAACGCCTAAGGCCGTGATGTCCGGCATAACTGATCTAACTGTTTGCGTACATGAATATTAATATGCATGTCTAATTTGTTTTGAAAAACTCACTTAATATTTGATAAAATATACTTACATACTGGCGTGCCGCAAAGATCGGCTTGCAACTGCATGAGGACATTATTGGTTGACATTATCCCATCCGCATTAAACTTGGTCAATGGGTAACCACAGTCTTTATTCATAGCTTCTAGAATATCTCTCGTTTGAAAACAAACAGCTTCTAACGACGCTCGTACTATATGTTGCTTCGTTGTGTACGCAGTAAGACCACAAATAACTCTGTAAGAATATGTTTAAATATTAAGAATATACATACATATACATTGACGTGTTCTATGTATGTACATATAAGAAACTTGCCCTCTTGCATCTTTTCTCCAATATGGAGCATACAATCCTGTGAAAGCTGGCACGAAATACACGTCGCCAGTACTGAAAACGGTTTCTGCCAATTTTTCACTCTCATGAACGTCACTTATAAGCTTCAGATTATCTCGTAACCATTTAATTGCAGCACCCGCTACCGCAACCGAACCCTCCAGCGCATAAACTGCTGGACTCTTTGGACCCAATTGATATGCCACTGTTGTGACTAATCCGTGAGCAGAATCCACCCGCTGCGCAGTTAATACAGATAAAACATAAACTTGAATAATTCCTTTTCCCATGATACGTACCGTTGTCCCTGTATTACACAGCAAGAAGCATCCACTCCTATATGTATTTTTTGCTTGTCCCTTTTTCAAACAATTCTGTCCGACTAACGCAGATTGCTGATTACCTAAAATCTGAAAATGAAAACAGTCATTTAGTCAATGTACGTTATCTTCCTCTTTTAAGAACACTTATTTAAATGTGTAACTTACAGCGGATATAGGGATACCCTTTAACGGTCCAATTACGATCTTTCCATAAACTTCTGAACTACTCTTGATCTCTGGCAGCATTTCCATAGAAATGTCGAAATATCTGCACAATGCAGGATCCCACGACAATGTCTCTAGATTCATTAGCATGGTCCTGGACGCATTCGTTACATCTGTGATATATAATCCGCCGTCTTTGCCTCCTGTTAAGTTCTGTAACCACATCTCAATAAATCTTCAGGATGTTGAATGTTCATTTTTAGTTATTTCTCTCGCTGTGAGGCACAACAATTGTTTTGCATATTCTAAAAAAGTTTTAAAATAGACTTATAACCGCTATCAACGTACCCAGACGATCCAAGTATCCACCGTGCCCACTTTGCAACGCTTGTCCCGTATTGCTCTTTTCACCACGGGTACATTATCCTTTAACCAACGAATCTTGAGCGCCGCGAAATATGGGCTCACCGGTAACCCGCATATCGGTTTAATATGATTCTTATTTTGATCCGGAAATTTGGCTACTACCTGATCAACGAGTAAGTTCGTTCGTATATCGGACCACACTGGAAAAGAAAGAAAATGAGAATCCTGAAAGCTTTAACTCGGATCTGGATTGATCTAATCGTATTATCTCTGAAACGAACCTATCGCGTTGTATAATGGTTCACCCGTCGTTGCATCCCATGCAATGGTTGTTTCTCTTTGATTTGTGATACCAATTGTTATTATGTCCTGAACATCTATTTTTGAGACAACAGCCTTGATGCAAGCCTTCACCGCGAACAGGATTTCCTTCGGATCCTGTTCCACCCATCCCTCCTGTGGACTTAATTGTTCCACATCGATTTGATGTGACGCTACTTCGGCTACGTGTTGCGCGCTGAACACCTGCAATAGAGAATTCAATTTGAGATTTGCCTCCAATTATCTGGGACAATTATGCAGTACCATTACAATCTCATTATACCGTTAATGGTTTTATAATATGCAATAACAGGTGAAAATTAATTTGAAGGAGAAAAAGAAAACTGAATTAACGGACAACTGTAATTATGACTTATGATGATTCATGACTTGATGATAATTATTTATGACTTACTGCAAAACGAACGTTTCGCGTACTAATGTCAATTACTCCGATAAGAACACTTGGTTTCTTCGACGTGCCGGGCATGTCTGGAAAATAAATATCATCTTTTAACTTCTTAGTTTAATTCCGTAATTTTACTCCTAACGCATACGAAACGTACTGAGCTCTATATCTTTATCGCTAGATCGTTCGTAATCAAAGACATTATTAAGAATTGTTTGCATAATGTACTAACGTTCAATTGTTAAGTATCGTAAATTTTTTGAACGACTCCGCACCTTGATTTGATCGATCTTACAATTAGTTAAATCTAAGTATTAGACAGATGTCAGAACACATAGACCACGAGAATCTTCGTTAAAGTTAAAAGTAATTTGTTGATAAAGCTGTGAAGCTGATATTTTAAGAAATTTAAAAACACGCGTTTAAACATTATCAGAGCTCTTTGATCCCCAATTTCTGAAAGCTATCCGTTGATCACTTATCGCTTGTTATCGCTTGTTGTCGAATCTAATTTTACCAAAACATATTCGGAGATAAGGATTGTTTTTCCTACTGACCTGAAATAAAGTTTAGAAAAGATCCAAGACGTAAGTCAGACGCTTCTCAACAAATGATACGGTTTAACTTCTACTATTCAACAAATCATAGAATGATTAAGTTAACTAAAATAAAGATCGATTTGAAAACAGTGTATTTCTTAATCGGTTTCACCAAAGTGATACTTTCACTCGTATCACAACACTTTTAATTCAATTCACCTCAATCCCCACTTCTTCATAAATTTAATGAAGTTGTAAGAAGGAAAGATTCAACGATTCTGCACGAATTTCCACATCGTACGCAAGATGCGGGAATAAGTCGATAAGAGTCGATATAATGAGATCCTCTTTTTATAGGGTCGAGATCAACGTCAGCGGGATAAACGCGATTCGTAGAAACCGGAGGTTTGCTGTCTCCATAGTTTTCTCCTTATCATCCGTTGCTGGCAACATTTGAGATCTGAGAATGAGGATCACTGAAGCATCGAAAGGTCATGAATGACTTGAAATGAATCACTGCCCGATGCTGCAAATTGAATGGAAACTATTTTTGATAAAAATAAAGAAATTTGAAAAATCTTTTCTTATCAACAAATTTATTTTATTCTCATTTCATTACTATAAACTTGTATCAAGTATGAAAAAGAAATAGTGTTATAAACGGGAAGCAGATCAAACTATCCTTTTATAACGATGTCAGATATTTCTAGAAACAATCCGTTTTGCGTAATAATATTTCAAATAAACAAACCATTCTTTAAGTAATTATCAGTCTCATTCGAAAATGCAATGCACATCAATAAACGATAGTCTACGAAAGGCAAGATTATTGCCGTTCAATTGATGCATGGAACATTCTTGATAAAATTATCTTGCATCAAATATTAACACGAAAACATAGTTTTGCTTCCGACTTGTGGAAAGAAATAAGGAGAAAATGACCGAACACTGGCGTCAGGAATATTAACGATATTTATATTTAATCAGATTCCGAATCGTCGCGAGAATCGACCAGCTTCTTTTCCATCCAAAGCTGTACTGTACGAAACGTTTCCGAAACACAGCAAGTCTCGAGACGTTTATCCAGTATTATTATTAGACGTTGCCGTCGTTATCGGGTCGCTCGTTTTCGTTACAATGTTGTTTCCACTTCCGAGCTGGCATTTACCATGTTCGTACGATGCCCGTCGCCTATCGCCTTCTTACCATATTAATTTACACTGTACGCTGTTACAGATACATTGTAAGAGCCTACAGACTTGCGTAAAAGTTGATTACGATAAGCGATTACGTAGGAATTATGCAACCGTCGGCTTGCAAAAAAGTGTAGAGTCGAATTACAGATGCGATAAATACAACTACGTTATGTAATCAGGGTTGCAGACAAATAATTAAATCTTTAATTCAATTGAACACCAATTAGCAATTAACGATTGATTCCCAATTCGGATTTGACTAATTAACGAGTAGAATTATTCAATTAGCTTGATTGGAAGAAATTGGAATTAACATTATTTCTGCCAAGCGGTGTCAAAAGACACCTTTCGAAATTTTCGCCTAAAATTATTATCATTAGTTTAATCGTTTTTCCTCGATTTAATTCATTAATTTAACAACCAATATAGGAAAAGTCATAAAATTTAATTGAGGAGAAAGTATTAAACTAATAATAATAATGTCCCTGTAGAAATAGTGTTAACGATCGAATTTTAATTCTAAATTAAAGAATACTCCAGTTGTCGATTGAGATTTAGGGAAATTTAATCATTAATTGTTAAAAAATCTGGAACTCTATATGTATAATTCTCCAGTTAAAACGTGAACTGACAGCAGGTTTTTATTTTACAAAACTTTTTCATACATAACAGATGTACTGAAAGCGTTTTTCAAATCGTCACGTTTGTTGTAAGAGAATCAATTTAATATAGCTCTTATGTAAATGCGATGATCCTGAAAATGTTGATATGATCAGTATAAAAACGGATGCAATTGTACACATAGATGTTAACAAGAAGAAGACGCAATCGTAAATAGATAATTTTACTTAAACTCGTCTGACCTTTATCTGGTTTTCTTAATGCACTCGTAAAATTAGCTATCAAGACTTTCTCCATATATCATGGAATTGAATATAGCTCCAAAATACGTATTTATTGAACAAAAATCGTTCTTCTTATTCATTATTCAAGAGAGAAATAATTGAAGTAAAAAAGCGTCAATGCAAGAAGTATATGTAATAAGTAGAAGTGGGACAACGTCGTGCCGAATCGGTGAAAGTATTGGGTAGCCCCACTATTTCACAAGCTGTTCCAATTTACAGCCCGGTGCAGTACGCTGCACCGGTAAGGGCGGTGAGTCCAGATGCACGTGCCAGACGGCACGCGATGCGCATACACATGTGATTTGTGCTGCTTTTCGCCGCGGAATGCATTGCGATGACGTCGTGTGACGTATGACGAGAACACGCCGGATTGGCCGATCCGAGAGGCTCGTTCTGCACTTACCGTGGCGAATGCGGCACTATCGAGCGATAGCATTTACACATCGAACAAAAGTCTTCTCCCCGAAGTATCTATGTATGTAGCTGTTGCATAACGCTAGCGCGCACATGTGCAGTATTTCCGTTTCACTCTCCTGCTTTTTCCTGCTAACCGGGCAGATTCTGACCGAGTTCAGATCATCGATTTTGCACTTAAGTAATTCGCTACAGAAAATGAATGAGGGCCCCGAGGAAAACTGGAATCGATTCGTTCGACCTAGGTCAACGTCAGAGAACATTTTTGTACTTTTCAATCTGGATTACATTATTCTGTTTTAACGAGGTCACAATTATTTTAAAAGAATTATTTATTACATTGGTAAAAGTTACAACTATCGTTGGATTTTCTTTAATTTATAAATATATATAGGAACATCTACATATGAATGCGTTTGTTTGTATAGATGTTACAAAAAAAGATAGGATTCATTCTTAGAACGTATTTGAAAAAAAAAATGTTCCGGTCTATGAGAGCCTTCAAATAACCGGTTTGATTACGTTCACCCTTACAATGAATCTGAAGGTGTGTATCCACACGATCGCACAGTATTTTTCACATTGGTTGGCAACGGAACCAAGTATGAAGCGCGAAGATGTAATCTCGTGATTGTTTTACACGATACATCATGCACCAACTAGTTGTACGTAGCGTTGAACTTTAAATTGCAATTCTATCATTTAGCAATAGCAATACCTAGAATTATGAATATGCGAACATCGGCGAAATCGGATCGTATGACTCATGTTGTATAACAAAAGGTATACGATAAGAGTTCCAAAGTCGAGGGAACCATCCTCTGCATCAGGAATTAATAAGTAAGCAACGAATGTGTGAATAACGCCTACTATGCAAAAATGGCAAATTGGCAAGATAAGTAGGAGGGATGTTGCAAATTTTCAGGTGGGAGCTAGCAAACTATCTGTTATTTCTTATATAATTCGATTGTAAAATCATATTCGGATATCTTATCGTTTTGTCGAGAGCCTTATCTGATAATTCGTAATCCGTATGGTATTAAGTATAATTAAACGAAATCTATATCTTTAGAAGTAGTTAATACTGAAAAACAAGTGACTTATCAGCTGGCTGTATGTATAGAGACGTTTAAGGATGTATTGGCTATACAGTCAATCCCAAAAGTTTATACACTTTAGAAACGCATTTTTTAAAAAGAAATCAGACGTCGGAAGAACATTGGTAATAATAAACAACAAAAAAAAATTTTCGATTTTTCCGAGATTTTTCCAAGGGGT